AATGAAGATATGCCCTCAACAAGCTAAAAAGAAGAAATAATTTTAAGTAGTATAAGCAATTCCACACGCAATTTCACACAATGAACATATCCCCTAGACAGCTGTGAGATGAAATATGGGGCTTTTCTGTTCCCTCTGAGTGTCTCAGTTCTTGCATGCCTCTCATATGAGCATCTCACTGAACTGAATGAGACTCTAGTGTTTAAAGATAAATATTTTCAGCCGGGCACAGTGGCTCACGCCTGTAAACCCAGCACTTTGGGAGGCTGAGGCAGGCAGATGACTTGTGAGGAGTTTGAAACCAGCCTGGACAATATAGTGAAACCCGTCTCTACTAAAAATACAAAAATTAGACATGGTGGCACACACCTGTAATTCCAGCTACTTGGGAGGCTGAGACAGAAGAATTGCTCAAGCCTGGGAGGCGGAGGCTGCAGTGAGCTGAGATCACACCACTGCACCGCAGCCTGGGTGAGGGAGTGAGACTCTGTCTCAAAAATAAATAAATAAAAAATAAGGGAGAAAAAAAAAAGATGAAACTGGGTACGCTTTGAGAGGTGGGGCTTGCTAGTCTCCAATACAACAGATACGGCAATGTGATACTGTCTTTTGAGGAGTAATTTATAGAATTTTGGGATGATTTTTTGTAACATAATAGTTTTCACTCTAGGTTCTAAATTGAGAACCTAACTCCAGAAGTATGATGAGATTCTACTGTTGGGCGGCATTAAGCAAGCCATTTCAAACCTTGTTTTTACCTGTGGCTATAGTTCTTGGTCCTTACTGCCTCTTAAGCTAATCCAGTCTATTTCTCTTGAATACACTTTCCTTCTACTCTCCATCATTAAACATCCCACTTATTTATTATTTTCTTTTACTTTATTTTATTTTATTTATTTTATTTTTTGAGACAGGGCCTCACTCTATTGCCCAGCCTGGAGTGCAGTGGCAAGCTGATGGCTCACTGCAGCCTCGACCTCCCGGGCTCAAGCAATCTCCCACCTCAGCCTCTGAGTAGCTAGGACTATAGGCACACACCACCTCGCCTGGCTAATTTTTGTTTTGGTTGTTTGTTTGTTTTGTAGAGATGGGGTTTTGCCATGTTGCCCAGGCTAATCTCAAACTCCTAAGCTCAAGTGAGACACCTGCCTTGGCCTCCCAAAGTACTGGGATTACAGGCACGAGTCATCGCACTCGGAACCCATACCTCCCACTCTATAGAACCTGCCAAAGACAAGTTCTGCTAAGTATTTGTGAGGATGATCTTCCTCATCTCCAGCTGTAAAACACCTTTCATGGAATGTTTTTCTGTTCTTTCATTCTTGTTATCAGTTAGTGCCATTTTTCCAAAGACATACTACCATCCATGACATCTTGTATCAATTAGGTTACTAAGTGCACTCTCTTGAGAAAATTTAGAATTCAAAAACTACTTCTTTTGTTTGGCATCAGAGGTTGCTGTACCAAAAAAAAAAAAAAAGCAAAAAAAAAAAAAAAAAAAAAAAACTAAAAATAAAAACCAAAAAGCAAAAACAGTAACTTAAAAATAAGGAAAAACAAAAAATGCTTCTTTTGGTTTCAGGAAAATGGAACCACACAGGATGAAACCTCCCCTGCTTATAAAGAACTCTTTCCAAAACATAAAAGAGCGCTCTCCCAGGAGGAGCCTAAAAGGCATCCAAGAAGAAAACAGTGAAGAGGAAATCTTGGAAGCGAGCCAAGGCCATCTCCACCAGCCACTCCCACGGGTGCTAGCCAGAAAGCTACCCCAGCAAACTACCTATTCAGATAATTTGCAACTGAGACTTAAGGAAGAGAATATGATTGCATGATATGAGTACACAACCTTCAAACAAATGAGGGAAGAACAACCCTTACATCCAAAAAGAACAGAGTTAAAAGGCCAAACAAGGAAAAAAAAAAAAAAACCTTTAAACAAAAATACTTCAGAGCCTCAGAAAAATAAAAGCAGGATTTAGATCCAAAAATCAAGAATAAGGAGTTACAAAAAGAACAGAAGGTCATGATAAATAAGCAATGAAACAAAGCAGACGTATGAATCAGTAAAATGTAAGACAGAACTGAGGCATTTTCCTGGAGCACATCACATAAAATTATAAAAATTTAAAACATGGAGACAAGTTAGAAGACTAAAAAACAGATCTAGAAATTTTAATATGTATAAGAAACCAGGTAGAGGAGAAGCAGTATCTAAAGAAATAATGACCAAAAATGTCCTAGAGTTTGGGACAAGAGTCCTCAGACTAAAAGTGCTTACTGAGTACTAAATAAGATAAATAAAACCCACACTCTCACATTCTTGGAGCACTGGGGGAAAGAAAAAAAAAAAAGAGAAAACCCTAAAAGCTACTAACAGAAAAGAATAAAAATCAAGACTGATGTCAGATCTCTCATCAGTAAGCACGGACACACAAAAATAGTGGAGAAATAACTCCCAGTCACTGAGGAAAAATGGCTTTGACCTAGACTCTTGCCCCAAGCAGTATTATCATCCAAGGATAAGAGGAAAGGGTAAAATAAATCAATATTTTGGGATATATATATAAAAGACACAGTAAGATTCACCAGGCAATTTTTAAAGCAAAATTAAAATAAAAACTGTATTAAAGAACAAAATAATAATCTTAGCTACCTAGAATTCAGAGGATAATTTGAATGTCAGTACTCTGCTTAAAATTTTCCAATGGCTTCTCTTCGTCCACAACACAAAGTCCACACTTCTTAAAAATGACTTCAAGATTTCTGGCTGGCCCCTGCTAATCTCCCATCTAGCACCTTTTCTATATCCATTCTTCTCCAGGCAGTTGCACTGAGTATGCTGCAGTCTCCTGCCTCCAGACGCTTGCTTAAATACTATTTCCTCCAGTCCACTCTTACACTTCCCTAACCTCTCATCCAGGCTGGCATAATACCTAACTGTTTAAATACCAGTTACTCTAAGAGTCTTCCCAAACTATCCTTAGATACCCCTTATGAACCTCCTTAGATGTTCTCATAGCAGCCTACATTTCCCATCTCAGCAGTTCTGAAACAGTACCTGTTTACTTGATAGTCTTTCTCTATTAGACTGTAGGTGCCCTGAAGACAGATACTGTGTCTTGCTCACTGATAATACATCAGCTGTAATCTATGCAGTTTCTCATAAATACCTGACAACTATTCACTTCAGAGAAATGTAGAAAACCTTTAAAGTCACTCTTTCAGATTTCTGCACAGTCCTTCTCTCCCTTCTCTTCTGCTCAGTTCTATCACAACATTTCACAAGAGACTGAGGGAAAAAGCAAAAATCAATATTCATAAAGCTGTCTAGAATCCAAGTAGTTCAGAATTGTCATAAAGAACTGACAATTTATGTATCAAGACAGTTATATAAATTTAGTCAGAATTAAGTTACATATTTTTTAAGTTACATTTATACTCACTGGAAGAAAGGACCCTTATTTGTAGACTATTTCACAGGTTCTCGAAACATTTGTAATTAATTCTTTACTCTTTTCCTTTCATACGATGGTATAAAAACAAAATGTTCTTTCTTTTTTGAAACCAGTACTGACTGACATAAGGATAGACATATATATAAATGGAAAAGAATCCAGGGTCCAGAAATGAACCTATACATTATGATCAACTGACTTTCAAAAAAGGTGCTAAGACAATTCAGTGGGGAAACAACAGCCTTCAACAAATGATGCTGGAAGAACTGGATATACACATGCAAAAGAATAGGCAAATACCTCCCTCCCTCCCACCATACATAAAAATTAACCACAGGCCTCAACAGAAGAGCTAAAAGTATATCAACTCTTGAAAAACAACAAAGAAGTAAGTTTTTGTAACCTAGAATTAGACAGTGGCTTCTTACATATGAAACCAAAAGCATATGTGACAAAAGAAAAAATTAAAATTAAGATTAAACTACATCAAAATTAAAAAACATTTGCACTACAAACGTATCATGAAGTAAAAGGACACTGCATACAACAGACTTAGGAAAAAAGATAAATTTTTTAAAAAGAAAGTAAAATGACCGCTAATAGTATAGAAGAAAAGATTTGCAAATTATCCATTGGGTAAAGAACTTGCATATATGTAAAAACACAATTGAATTTTTAAAAAGACAACCCACTTAAAACACAGGCAAAAGATTTAAACAGACATTTCTCCAAAGAAGATATGCAAATGGCCAATAAGCACATGAAAAGATGCCCAACATCATTAGTCACTAAAACAAAATGTGCATGACAACCACAATGAGATACCACACTTCACACCGCTAGATGGCTTAATCAAAGACAGAAAATACTGGCAATCTTCTCACATAGCTGGTGAGAATGTAAAACAGTACTGTCGCTTTGGAAAATCATTGTGGCAGTTCCTCAAAACGTCAAACATAGTTACTATTATGAAAACGTTCATCTACACAAAAAACATGAACGTTCACAGCAGTATTACTTATAACAGCCAAAAAGGAGAAACAATCCAAATTTCCATCAACAAAATGAATGGATAAATAAAATGTGATATATACATAAAATGAAGTATTATTCGGCCATAAAATAGGAATGAGGTATTATATATGCTACAACATGAATGAACCACGGAAACATGCTAAATGAAAGAAGTCAGTCACAAAAAGATCACATATTCTGATTCAATTTATATGAAATGCCCAGAATAAGCAAATCTATGACAGAAAGTAGATTAATGTTTGGCTAAGGCTAGAGGTGGGTGAAAGGGTATAACGAGTGACTGCCAGTGAGTATGACACTTCTTTTGGGGGAGGTGGAAAATGTCCTAAAATTGATTGTGGTGATGGTTGCACAAACTTGTGAATACTGTAAAAACCATTAAACATTTTAAAATGGTGAATTGTATAATAAATTAATTATATCTCATTAAGATGCTAAAGAAAACAAAACAAAACAATACTACTCACCCAAATGTGAACATCCCTTACCCAAAAAAGACTGCAGCCTTACCTTTTAAGGGCATCTTTGAGTTCAGGCACAGAACGAATACACTGAACTGTGGCATTCATGTAACAAGTGTTACCAAGGTTTGTCAATCCACATGGTAACTCCATCTAGTTTAAAAAAAAAAAAAAAAAAAAAGGATTAAATCATTAAACCATTTTTGCAAAATGACATGACATATATAAATCACTAAAATTCTCATTTTGAATCAAGTACCATTTACTAGCTTCTACCAATTTATATTCTGCCTTCACTCTAAAGAAACAGTTTTATTTCTCCCCCCCAAAAAATGTTTACTTGGATCATGCTGGCCATCATATTATGTTTTAGTTTCCTTCTTAAAAATAAGAGAATAATCATACCAGTCTTGCCTTTTTGGCAGGTTTATCAGGAGAAGAGAACAGGCAAAACATGCATAGAAACACTTCAAAACAAAAAGCAAAATAAAAGGTTGGGTACAGTGGCTCACGCCTGTAATCCTAGCACTTTGGAAGGCTGAGGTGGAAGGATAGCTTGAGGTCAGAAGTTCAAGGTCATCCTAGGCAACACAGCAAGACCCTGTCTCTACCAAAAAAAAAAAAAATTTTTTTTTTAAATTTGCTGGGCATGGTGGTGCACGCCTACAATTTTCGCTACTCAGGAGGCTGAGGTGGGAGGATCACTTAAGCCCAGGAAGTTGAGGTTGTAGTGAGCTACGATCATACCACTGCACAACAGCCAGGGTGACAGAGCAAGACCCCATCTCAAGGGAAAAAAAAAAAAAAAAAAAAAACAAGAAAATGAATGAATGGCACTCAATAAATGCAAGGTGTTAAAAAAAAATTTGACACATGTGTTGGCCAGTTTCTAAACTGATTTTGCATTTATTCAGGATAAAATGTATATATTTTCCACATGAAGGATTTAAAAAATTTAAATATCCCAGCATTTAAACTACTCTTTGACCCTGTTTTCTCATAAATAGTAAACACTTATATAGTACTATCTGCCAGAAACATATTACAGATATTAGCTAAATATATACAAGTTAAGCCTAAATAAATTCACTTGGAAGTCTGAAAACCAGTAGTAAGGTGTACAATACCAAAAACAACCCTAACTGTGCATTATTTAACCACAGAAGGACTCCCTTAATCTAATTAAAAATAATAAAACTCTTATTTACAGATAAAAACATCTATCTTGGTATTAATGATTAAGTCTTCAAGACATTTAGATACTACTTTCTGAAAGACACTGTAATAATGGTCCTTCAAAAAGTAGTATCAAACATATAAAATCTGGCGTGTCTTACAGCAGATGCTAACTGTTCTTCTGTCATGTCTTCTACGAAGACAGTTTTGGCTGAGGGTTCTTCTGGAAGAGCATCTGCTGACCCCATCATTAGTAGAGTCATTCCCTGTTTTTAAAAAAAGTTATTTCATGAAAATCCTTAAAAGTTGGTAATGTTTATGTCAAACAAAAGAAGCCAGGCACAAAAGAACACATATTACATAATTCTATTTGCCAAAAAAAGTAAATCTACAGAAAGTAGATTAGTTGCTGCCTAGGACTGGAGGTGGGAAGAGGGAGTGGCTTTAAATTGGTACAAGTTTCTTTCTGGGGTAATAGAAATGTTCTAAAATTAGATTGTGGTGAAGGCTGCACAACTCTGTAAATACACTATAAAAAAATCACTGTATTGTTTAAAACAAGTAAAAAAGCCCTGGGGTGGCTGTTTGAGGCCAAGGCAAAGGTGTAAAGAAACTTCTTAGTGATGAAACTTCTAAATCGTGATTGTGGTGGTGGTTACGTGACAATACAGAATTGCCCAAAGTCATCAAACTGTACATCAAACACAGATGAATTTTACTCTATATAAATTGTACCTAAATAAAGCTGAACGAAAAAACAAATATTGCCATAAAAACACCTAATAGTGTTTAGAATATTGTAGCAGAGGGAATTTCTCAAATGATTATTAACATTTAGTGGCATCACCTCTCTCCATAACAAACTAACAACTAATAAAATTCAGACCAGGCATAGTTGCTCATGCCTGTAATCCTAGCACTTTGGGAGGCCGAGGCTGGTGGATGGTTTGAGTCCCATTCAAGACTAGCCTGGGCAACATGGCGAAACCCCGTCTCTACAAAAAATACCAGTATTAGCTGGGTATAGGGGTGCGTGCCTGTAATCCCAGCTACTTGGGGGCTAAGGTGGGAGGATCACTAGAGCCTGGGAGGTTGAGGCTGCGGTGAGCTGTGATCTCACCACTTGCATTCCAGCCTGGGTGACAGAGTGAGACCCTGTCTCAAAAAACAAAACAAACAAACAAACACTAATAAAATTCTTTCTGTGTCTGTTGTGTAACTGTAGTGATTGTTTACATTTAAAAACAAATATTTTTAGAGCATTAAATTCTCCATTACTGAAAAATATCAAACCAAATACAGAGTAAATTTGTTCAAAATATCCAATTATATAATTCTACACATTAACCTAAGTAAATACTTTTATTGAATACATACGCAAACACTCCATACAATCAATAGAAGGACAAGGAAGACACTGTCATTGTAAAGCTCATAATCTTAAAATATGAACAACACCTTACTCTCTTACTCAATATCTTAATTGGAAGGCACGAACACATGAGACAAAGAAAAAGGTAGGACCAGAAGTGGAGGTTTAAAAAAAAAACAAAAACAAAAACAAAAAAACAGGGATGATAGCCAGAAGAAAAAATGATAGCCAGAAGACTAAAAATATCCAGATGATGATTAAAATTAGGAAATTAGTAAGGCCAACAAATTCAGTTAAGAATACCTACAATTAAATCTAAAGACCTTTATTCTATCACCTTTTATTTCTACATAGACATCTTATAATATCATTACAAAGCAGTAAAGCAGTACTAAGCCATCACTACAGAATTTTTTTTTTTTTTTTTTTTTAGAGACAGGGACTCACTCTGTCACCCAGGCAGGAGTGCAGTGGCACAATTACAGGTCACTGTAGCTTCAAACTTCTGGCCTCAAGTGATCCCCCCATCTCCCAAAGTGCTGGGATTGCAGGTATAAGCCACCCTACCAGGCTAAGAATCTTTTTCCAAAGACAACTGTCTCAGGAGCCAACTATTTAAAGAATATACTAGCAATAACCAGTTGGAAAACACAATAGAAGAAATGCCAACATATATCTAAGAATAAACATAACAAGAAAAATGTAATACTTTAATAAGAGAATAAAGCTTTACTTAAGGATAGAAAAAAAGCACCTAAGTAAATTGAAAGACATGACAAGTTCTGTACTTGAAAAATTACTATAAAGATGCAATTACAGTTATATAAACTTAATGAAATTCCTTTATAAAACCTTGCAAAATGATTCATTCATGCAGCAAATTTATACCCATGATAATAGCTAAGAAATTTCTGAAAAAGAATAGAGACTAAAACAATGCCCTTAAAAATTATTGGGAAAAGGGATTATATAATGAAAAACATTGAGAAAAACTGTATAATTTAGAAAAAACATACTATCAGCTCTCCACTTCATACCATACCACAATCATAATGAATTAAAGGTAAAGATTTAAATGTAAAAAAATTAATATTCATAAAAGAATGCAAGTGAATCCAAAAACTCATGCATTGTTGGAAGATTTTCTAAAAGTGACATAAATATTAAAAAGACTGATGTAACTAGCTACACAAATCTTAAAAATGTATAAAACATTTGAAAACAATAAACTAGGGGAAAAACTACACCATATATACTAAGCACTCAAAAAAGCAAATCTATAAGAAAAAGCAAATACATACGACAAAAATGGGCAAAAGAGATTTAAAAAAAAAAAAGGCTTAAAATTAAAGAACTAGGTAAGCTTCTACCTTAAGCTAGAAAAAGTAAAAATAGGCTGGGCGTGGTGGCTCACGCCTGTAATCCCAGTACTTTGGGAGGCCGAGACGGGCGGATCATGAGGTCAGGAGATGGAGACCATTGGCTAACATGGTGAAACCCCATCTCTACTAAAAATACAAAAAATTAGCCAGGCATGGTGGCAGGCACCTGTAGTCCCAGCTACTTGGGAGGCTGAGGCAGGAGAATCGCGTAAACCCAGGAGCTTGTGTTGAGCCAAGATCGAGCCACTGCACTCCAGCCTGGGCGACAGAGCGAGACCTTGTCTCAAAAAAAGAAAAAGTAAAAATTAAAACCAAGCCACGTGTGGTGGCGCACACCTGCAGTCCAAGGTAATCGGAAGGCTAAGATGGGAAGACTGCTTAGCAGCTCAAGGCCAGCCTAAGCAACATAGCAAGATCCCATTTCTAAAACAAACAAAAAAAGTCACTATCATTTGCCTGGGTTTTAGCATTTCATTCAACAAAATATGATTATATAAAAATTCAAAATTAAAATTAAAATTTCAAAATTAAAAAAAACTAAAACCAAAGTAGAAAGAAAGCAAAGAGAAAAAATTAGCAAAGAGAAAAAATTAACAAAGTAATAAATGAACAGGCTAAAGATTTTTTTTTTGGTGGGGAAACCATCAATGAAAGTGATAAAACTCTGGCTTGATGATAAAGGAAACAGACAAATCATAATTTGCCCATACTAGAGAGTTTTCGAAAACGGCACTACACATTCTAGAATTAAAGGATAATAACATTAGAGTACGACAATCAATTCAACAAATTAAATTAAATGAACCAATTCCTTCAAAAATACTGATTATCAAGCTGATATGAAAGAAAACATAAAAAAATAGTCCTACATTTATCAAAGACGCTAAATTCTTAAAGTCTTCCTACAAAGAAAACTCCAAACCCAGACAAAGTCTAGTGAACTAGGCTTCACAAGAGAATTTTAGTGAATCTAGGCTTCACTAGAGAATTTTAGGCAACATTTAAAGAAAAAATACCCCAGTGGAGTGGCAGCAGAAATAAAAAAGAAAAAATACAAACTCAGAAAAGAAGGGACGCTTCCTAACTCATTGTATAAGACCAACATTACATTGATAGCAAAACCAGATAAAAGAACACAAGAAAACTATAAACCATTACCTCTTATGAAAAGAGACACTAAAAACCTTAACAAAAGATAAGCAAATAGAATCTAGCAATATATAATGTACAAGTGGGGTTTATCCCAAGAATATAAGTTCTATTTAATACTCAGAAGTCGGTGTAGTTTACATTAATGGATTAAATGAGAGGAAGAAATGATATAGAAAAGGCATTTAACAAAATGACAAAATTCGACTTCCATTCATGACGAAACCTCTCAGCAAACTAGAAGCAGAGTTCCTGAACCTGATGATGAGCTTCTATAAACTACCTCCAGCCACGATGGAGGCTTTTCCCCTAAGGTCAGGAAAAAGGCAATGATGTCCACTATCAACCACTTCTACTCAGCACTGTTTAAAGTCTTAAGCATTGCAATAAAGAAAAAAAGAGAAACAAAATGCACAAAGATTAAAAAGGAAGAAATAAAATTGTCCTTATTTGAAGACGACATGTATACCTACAATATCCTAAGAAAGTAATACATGAAATAAAGTCAGAGCATACAAAGTCAATTATAAAAATTAACTTTATTTTTATATACTAGCAAGCAATTGGAAAATGACATTTCAAAAATACCACAGCTGGGTGCAGTGGCTCACACTTGTAATCCCAGCACTTTGGGAGGCCAAGGCAGGAGGATTACTTGAGGCTAGGAGTTCGAGACCAGCCTGGTCAACACAGCAAAACCCCATCTCTACTAAAAACACAAAAATTAGCCTGGCATAATGGCACATTCCTGTAGTCCCAGCTACTCAGAAGGCTGAGACACGAGAACTGCTTGAACCTGGGAGGCAGAGGCTACAGTGAGCCATGATCACGTCACTGCACTTCAGCCTGGGCAACAGAGTAGGACTCTGTCTCAAAAACAAAAACAAAAACTTAGCCAAGCACAATGGCCCATGCCTGTAGTCCCAGCTACTCAGGAGGGTGAGGTGGGAGAACCCCTTGAGCCCAAGAATTCAAGGCCACAGTGAGCTATGAGCCACTGCACTCCAGCCCATGCGACAAAGCAAGACCTCGTCTTAAAAAAAAAAAAAAAAAGTACCACTTATGATAACATTAAAAACCATGAAATAAGCCGGATGCAGTGGCTTATGCCTATAATCCCAGCACTTGTGGAGGCTGAGGCGGGCGGATCAGGAGTTTGAGACCAGCCTGGCCAACATGGTGAAACCCCGTCTCTACTAAAAATACAAAAATTAGTCAGGCGTGGTGGCGGGTGCCTGTAATCCCAGCTACTCAGAAAGCTAAGGAAGGAGAATCACTTGAACCCAGGAGGCGGAGTCTGCAGTGAGCTGAGATCACGCCACTGCCCTCCAGCCTGGGCATCAGAGCGAGACTGTCTCAAAAC